GTGGTCTCTCTCTCTGGTCTCTCTCTCGCTGGTCTCTCCCTCTGGTCTCTCTCTCTGGTCTTTCTCTCTGGTCTCTCTGTCTGGTCTCTCTCTCTGGTCTTCCTCTCTGGTCTCTCACTCTGGTCTTTCTCTCTGGTCTTTCTCTGGTTTTGGTGTGAAAGTTACGTCCCTCAGCTTTAACACGAACACGTGGTTCTTTAAGTCTCTTTGATCCTGTCTCTTCACCTGCGTCAGATTATCACGGGTTTACGCGCCGTCTCCATGGTAACGGAGGAGGATAATCAAGCGCGCTCCTGTGTAGCTGCACTTAGCGGCCACGCGCACGCACACGCACATGTACTTTGCAGTCCACGGATGTATCACAGTCCCACCGGAGAACCTCGCTTCTCCCGCCCGCGATAAGTGCACACAAGCCCGGGTAGAGAGACCAGGGAGAGAGACCAGGGAGAGAGACCAGGGAGAGAGACCAGGGAGAGAGACCAGGGGGAGAGACCAGAACCCGGGGAGAGAACACAGAGGGAGTGAATCGGTTCAACAGGTGAGTGAGACGCGCCTGTGATGGAGAATGCAAATGTACCTGTACTGCTTTAACAACATGTCTGTTCTCACGTCTGCACTTGTACCTGTGTTCTGTGTACCTGTGATTACGTGCACAGCGTCATCAGACACAGCTGGTGTTGTTTGTTCAGTGAGTAAACAACACTGAGGCTGAACGTGTCTCCTCCTGATCCTCATGGTCTATAAGCGGCTCTGATCAACGATGGACATAAAAGAGATTAGAACCATTTATAATCCGTCGGAAGATACAGTGCCTTGCGAAAGTATTCGGCCCCCTTGAACCTTTCAACATTTTGCCACATTTCAGGCTTCAAACATAAAGATATACATTTTTTTTTTTTCATGAATCAACAAGTGGGACACAATCGTGAAGTGGAACGAAATTTATTGGATAATTTAAACTTTTTTAACAAATAAAAAACTGAAAAGTGGGGCGTGCAATATTATTCGGCCCCTTTACTTTCAGTGCAGCAAACTCACTCCAGAAGTTCAGTGAGGATCTTTGAATGATCCAATGTTGTCCTAAATGACTGATGATGAGTCCCTCCTGTGGGCCCACCACCTGCAGAGGGGTCCGTGGTGAAGCGGTGCTGAGAGGACTGGGCGGCAGTCGAAGGCGGAGACCTCGGCGACCCAGTCCGCACACACAACATCTGGCTCTTGGGACATGGAACGTCACCTCACTGGGGGGGAAGGAGCCCGAGCTCGTGGGGGAGGTTGAGCGATACCGACTAGAGATAGTCGGCCTCACCTCCACACACAGCTTGGGCTCTGGAACCCAACTCCTTGAGAGGGGTTGGACGCTCCACTTTTCTGGAGTTTCCCGCGGGGAGAGGCGGCGAGCTGGGGTGGCCATTCTCATTGCCGGCCATCTCAGCCGCCACGTGTTGGAGTTCTCCCCGGTGAATGAGAGGGTCGCGTCCCTCCGCCTCCGGGTGGGGGACAAGTCTCTCACTGTTGTGACGGCCTACGGGCCTAACGGCAGTGTAGAGTACCCGGCCTTCTTGGAGTCCTTGGGAGGGGTACTGGACGGTGCACCGCCCGGGGACTCCGTTATTCTCCTGGGGGACTTCAACGCCCATGTGGGAAACGCCAGTGACACTTGGAGAGGGGTGATCGGGAAGAGCGGCCCCCCTGATCTGAACCCGAGCGGTGTTCAGTTGTTGGACTTCTGTGCCAGTCGCGGTTTGTCCATCACGAACACCATGTTCGAGCACAAGGGTGTCCACCAGTGCACGTGGCACCAGGACACCCTAGGCCGGAGGTCGATGATCGACTTTGTTGTCGTATCATCTGACCTTCGACCGCGTGTCTCGGACACTCGGGTAAAGAGAGGGGCGGAGCTGTCAACCGATCATCACCTGGTCGTGAGTTGGATCCGCTGGCAGGGGAAGAAGCCGGTCAGACCTGGCAGACCCAAGCGTATAGTGAGGGTCTGCTGGGAACGTCTCGCTGAGCCCCCTGTCAGACGGACTTTCAACTCACACCTCCGGGAGAGTTTCTCCCAGGTCCCGGCGGAGGAGGGGGACATGGAGTCCGAGTGGACCATGTTCTCTGCCTCAATCGCCGATGCGCGGCGGCTCGTAGCTGTGGTCGCAAGGTCTCTGGTGCTGGTCCCGGCGGCAACCCCCGAACCCGGTGGTGGACACCGGCAGTAAGGGATGCTGTCAGGCTGAAGAAGGAGTCCTATCGAGCCATGATGGTTCGGGGGACTCCTGAGGCAGCTGTCCAGTACCGGCAGGCCAAGCGTGCCGCGGCCCGGGCTGTTGCAGAGGCAAAAACCCGGGACTGGGAGGAGTTCGGAGAGTCCATGGAGCATGACTATCGGTCGGCCTCGAAGAGATTCTGGCAAACCATCCGACGCCTCAGGAGGGGGAAGCAGTTCTTTGCCAACACCATGTACGGTGTGTGTGGAGAGCTGCTGACCTCGACTGGGGATATTGTCGGGCGGTGCAAGGAATACTTTGAGGTTCTCCTCAATCCCCCCGTCACGTCCTCCGTTACAGAGGCAGAGGCTGAGGATGTTGGGGCGGGTACATCCATCTCCCTGGCTGAGGTCACCAAGGTGGTTGGTAGCCTCCAGGTGGCAAGGCTCCGGGTGTGGATGAGATCCGCCCTGACTATCTAAGTACTTTGAGGTTCTCCTCAATCCCCCCGTCACGTCCTCTGTTACAGAGGCAGAGGCTGAGGATGTTGGGGCGGGTACATCCATCTCCCTGGCTGAGGTCACCAAGGTGGTTGGTAGCCTCCATGGTGGCAAGGCTCCGGGTGTGGATGAGATCCGCCCTGACTATCTAAAGTCTCTGGATGTTGTAGGACTGTCTTGGCTGACACGTTTCTGCAACATCGCGTGGCGATCGGGGGCAGTGCCAATGGAGTGGCAGACCGGGGTGGTGGTCCCTCTCTACAAGAAGGGGGACCGGAGGGTGTGTTCCAATTATCGTGGGATCACACTCCTCAGCCTCCCCGGTAAGGTCTACTCCAAGGTACTGGAGAGGAGGTTACGGCCGATGGTCGAATCTCGGATCCAGGAGGAGCAGTGTGGTTTTCGTCCCGGTCGCGGAACACTGGACCAGCTCTATACTCTCCGTCGGATACTCGAGGGTTCATGGGAGTTCGCCCAACCTGTCCACATGTGCTTTGTGGATTTGGAGAAGGCGTTCGACTGTGTTCCCCGGGGTGTCCTTTGGGGGGTTCTCCGGGAGTACGGGGTCGGAGGTCCTCTGCTGAGGGCCATCCGATCCCTGTATGACCGGAGCCAGAGCTGTGTTCGCATTGCCGGCAGTAAGTCAGACCTGTTCCCGGTGAATGTTGGCCTCCGACAGGGCTGCCCTTTGTCACCGGTTCTGTTCACTGTATTTATGGACAGAATATCTAGGCGCAGCCAGGGGTCGGAGGGGGTCCGGTTCGGAGACCACAGGATTTCATCTCTGCTGTTTGCGGACGATGTTGTCCTGTTGGCTCCAACGAACCAGGACCTGCAGCATGCACTGGGGGGTTTGCAGCCGAGTGTGAAGCGGCTGGGATGAGAATCAGCACCTCCAAATCCGAGGCCATGGTGCTCGACCGGAAAAAGGTGCCTTGCCCTCTGCAGGTGGGTGGAGAGGTCCTTCCTCAAGTGGAGGAGTTCAAGTATCTCGGGGTCTTGTTCACGAGTGAGGGAAGAATGGAGCGTGAGATTGACAGGCGGATCGGTGCAGCGTGCGCAGTTATGCGGTCGCTGTATCGGACTGTTGTGGTGAAGAGGGAGCTGAGCCGAAAGGCAAAGCTCTCGATTTACCGGTCAATCTTCGTTCCCTCCCTCACCTATGGTCATGAGCTTTGGGTAATGACCGAAAGAACGAGATCGCGGATACAAGCGGTCGAAATGAGCTTCCTCCGCAGAGTGGCTGGGCGCTCCCTTAGAGATAGGGTGAGGAGCTCAGTCACACGGGAGGAGCTCGGAGTAGAACCGCTGCTTCTCCACGTCGAGAGGAACCAGTTGAGGTGGCTCGGGCATCTGTTCCGGATGCCTCCTGGACGCCTCCCTGGGGAGGTGTTCCGGGCACGTCCCACCGGGAGGAGGCCCCGCGGAAGACCCAGGACACGCTGGAGGGACTATGTCTCTCAGCTGGCCTGGGAACGCCTTGGGGTCCCCCCGGACGAGCTGGAGGAAGTGTGTGTGGATAGGGAAGTCTGGGCGTCTCTGCTTAGACTGCTGCCCCCGCGACCCGGCAACGGATAAAGCGGAAGAAAATGGATGGATGGATGGATATGTGTGTATAGATATGTGTATAGGTGTGTGTGTGCGCATAGTAGAGTAACTCTGGTTCACACTCCAGTACAGTAGGTGGCGGAAATGCACCTTTAAAGTTGAGTTCCACCCGCCAATAATACTGCAAGAAGAAGAAGAAGTGAACTGCAGTGTGTTCTCCGGCCACGAAAGGCAGCATTGCGTGGAGAGGCGCCCAGTCTGCCGGAAATCAAAAGAAGAAGAAGAAGCTTCGTTTGTGGAGGGGATGTGATCCGCAGCTTTGGAAACACTTTGATCTCTGTGCTTCATAAAGTCAGCAGCTGATTGGAGCAGAGGGAACATCTGCATGATCCCCGTGTAGAGCTCCTTCTACCACCGCAGCTGCTCCTGCTCCGTGCGATCGGTGAATGTGTGTTATGCTAGTGCTGTTAGCGTTAGCATTAGCCACAGGCCGCTAGCATCTTTTACTGTCTGTTCAATGGACATTCATTCATCTGTTTACTTTAACCCTAATATTAACAGAGTTCTTGGAGCACGTTCACCTCCTGTTTATATTGTTTTCTTTTTATCTGTAATGTTTGTCCTTTATTTTATAAACAACTGTGTAGCACTGTTTAAAGCGCCTCTCGAGGACAAGAACGTCTATGTATTTGTTTTCACAATAGAACAAAACTATTGGATAGAAATGGTGTGATTGGCCCTCATTTTTTCACTGTTTCCCCCTCTCGTCTCCTCTCTTCCTCCTCTCGTCTCCTCTCTTCCCCCTCTCGTCTCCTCTCTTCCCCTCCTCCTCTCTCTCTCCTCTCTCTTCCCCTCCTCTCGTCTCCTCTCTTCCCCCTCTCGTCTCCTCTCTTCCCCTCTCGTCTCCTCTCTTCCTCCTCTCGTCTCCTCTCTTCCCCCTCTCGTCTCCTCTCTTCCTCCTCTCGTCTCCTCTCTTCCTCCTCTCGTCTCCTCTCTTCCTCCTCTCGTCTCCTCTCTTCCTCCTCTCGTCTCCTCTCTTCCCCCTTCGTCTCCTCTCTTCCCCCTCGTCTCCTCTCTTCCCCCTCTCGTCTCCTCTCTTCCTCCTCTCGTCTCCTCTCTTCCCCCTCTCGTCTCCTCTCTTCCCCCTCTCGTCTCCTCTCTTCCCCCTCTCGTCTCCTCTCTTCCCCCTCTCGTCTCCTCTCTTCCCCCTCTCGTCTCCTCTCTTCCCCCTCTCGTCTCCTCTCTTCCCCTCTCGTCTCCTCTCTTCCCCCTCTCGTCTCCTCTCTTCCTCCTCTCGTCTCCTCTCTTCCCCTCTCGTCTCCTCTCTTCCCCTCTCGTCCCCTCTCTCTCCCTCTCTCTCCCCTCTCGTCTCCCCTCGTCCCTCTCTCTCCCCCTCTCGTCCTCTCTCTCTCTCCCCCTCTCGTCTCCTCTCTTCCCCCTCTCGTCTCCTCTCTTCCCCTCTCGTCCTCCTCTCTTCCTCCTCTCTTCCCTCCTCTTCCCCTCTCGTCTCCCCTCCCCTCTCGTCTCCTCTCTTCCCCTCTCGTCTCCTCTCTTCCCCTCTCGTCTCCTCTCTTCCTCCTCTCGTCTCCTCTCTTCCCCCTCTCGTCTCCTCTCTTCCCCCTCTCGTCTCCTCTCTTCCCCCCCTCGTCTCCTCTCTTCCCCCTCTCGTCTCCTCTCTTCCCCCTCTCGTCTCCTCTCTTCCTCCTCTCTCTCCTCCTCTTCCTCCTCTCCCCTCTCCTCTCTTCCCCCTCTCGTCTCCTCTCTTCCCCCTCTCGTCTCCTCTCTTCCCCCTCTCGTCTCCTCTCTTCCCCCTCTCGTCTCCTCTCTTCCCCTCTCGTCTCCTCTCTTCCCCCTCGTCTCCTCTCTCTCTCTTCCTCCTCTCGTCTCCTCTCTTCCCCTCTCGTCTCCCTCTCTTCCCCTCTCGTCTCCTCTCTTCCTCCTCTCGTCTCCTCTCTTCCCCCTCTCGTCTCCTCTCTTCCCCCTCTCGTCTCCTCTCTTCCCCCTCTCGTCTCCTCTCTTCCCCCTCTCGTCTCCTCTCTTCCCCCTCTCGTCTCCTCTCTTCCCCCCTCTCGTCTCTCCTCTCTTCCCCCTCTCGTCTCCTCTCTTCCCCCTCTCGTCTCCTCTCTTCCTCCTCTCGTCTCCTCTCTTCCTCCTCTCGTCTCCTCTCTTCCCCCTCTCGTCTCCTCTCTTCCCCTCTCTTCCTCTCTTCCCTCTCTCTCCCCTCTCGTCTCCTCTCTTCCCCCTCTCGTCTCCTCTCTTCCTCCTCTCGTCTCCTCTCTTCCTCCTCTCGTCTCCTCTCTTCCTCCTCTCGTCTCCTCTCTTCCTCCTCTCGTCTCTCTCTGGTCCTCTCTCTCTGGTCTCTCTCTGGTCTCTCTCTGGTCTCTCTCTCTGTCTCTCTCTGGTCTCTCTCTGGTCTCTCTCTGGTCTCTCTCTGGTCTCTCTCTGGTCTCTCTCTGGTCTCTCTCTTGGTCTCTCTCTGGTCTCTCTCTCTGGTCTCTCTCTGGTCTCTCTCTCTGGTCTCTCTCTGGTCTCTCTCTCTCTGGTCTCTCTTTGGTCTCTCTGGTCTCTCTTTGGTCTCTCTGGTCTCTCTCTGGTCTCTCTTTGGTCTCTGTGGTCTTTCTCTGGTCTTTCTCTGGTCTCTCTCTGGTCTCTCTCTGGTCTCTCTCTGGTCTCTCTTTGGTCTCTCTGGTCTCTCTCTGGTCTCTCTCTGGTCTCTCTCTGGTCTCTCTCTGGTCTCTCTCTGGTCTCTCTCTGGTCTCTCTTTGGTCTCTGTGGTCTTTCTCTAATCTTTCTCTGGTCTCTGGTTCATATGGCGCTAACATGTCACAGATTTGTAGTGTGTTTTGTTGAGCTAGCCGGGTTAGCATTGTTCAGACTTTGCCGGTTACCATAACAACGAGGTGGTCTTTCTCCAGATGCTATTTCTCCCCAAAAACATACCCCATAGTTTAACCGTAATATAACGATATTTAACCGCACCAGGAGAGTACATTCCACAGTTTTAGATCGCGGCCTCAATCACGGCAGAAACATGACGATTTAATTAGCTAACACGTCTGTATCGATGCCATGTGCTGATGCATTCCTGGTGTTCGCTCTCGGAGCCACATTCCTCTCACAGAATGGATGTAAACAGAAAGCTTTACGAGGCTGTGGTCAGGACCCTGCTCTGGTCTCTCTCTGGTCTCTCTCTGTGGCCTCTTTCTGGTCTCACTCTGGTCTCTCCCTGGTCTCTCTCTGTGGTCTCTCTCTGGTGTCTCTCTGGTCTCTCTCTGTGGTCTCTCTGTGGTCTCGCTCTGGTCTCTCCCTGGTCTCTCTCTGGTGTCTCTCTCTGGTCTCTCTCTGGTCTCTCTCTGGTCTCTCTGCAGTTTCTCTCTGGTCTCTCTCTCAGGCCTTTCTCTGGTCTCTCTCTTTGCTCTTTCTCTGGTCTCTCTCTGGTCTTTTTCTCTGGTCTCTCTTGGGTCTCTTTCTGGTCTCTCTCTGGTCTCTCTCTCTGCTCTTTCTCTGGTCTCTCTCTGGTCTTTTTCTCTGGTCTCTCTCGGGTCTCTTTCTGGTCTCTCTCTCTCTGCTCTTTCTCTCTGGTACTCATCAGGGATTCCACAAAGAGAACAAAAAAGGAAATGGGAGTTGTATTGTTTTGCCACTGAGACGTAGGTGCGTTTCATATGGTTTCAAAAGGAATAATGTATGAGAGTGAGAGAGACCAGGGAAAGACCAGGGAGAGACCAGAGAGAGACCAGGGAGAGACCAGAGAGAGACCAGAGAGAGACCAGAGAGAGACCAGAGAGAGACCAGGGAGAGACCAGAGAGAGACCAGAGAGAGAGAGAGAGACAAGAGACAAAGACTATTGAGAGAGACCAGAGAGAGACCAGAGAGAGACCAAGGAGAGACCAGGGAGACACTATAGAGAGAAGAGATAGAGAAGAGATAGAAACCAGAGAGAAACCAGAGAGAGACCAGAGAGAGACCAGAGAGAGACCAGAGAGAGACCAGAGAGAAACCAGAGAGAGACCAGAGAGAGACCAGAGAGAGACCAGAGAGAGACCAGAGAGAGACCAGAGAGAGACCAGGGAGAGAGAGAGAGACCAGGGAGAGACCAGAGAGACCTGAAGTGAGAGTGTGAACCTCCTTCAAAGTGTTGTGGGTTTGATTCCTTTGCTCAGCCTGGGAGCACTCATGCTGCTGTGTGTGTTCCAATTATTACCACTGTATGGACTGGTCCTGGTCTGGTCCTGGTTCTGAGCCGAGTCAGGTTGGTTTCCTCTCAGTCCTGTTCCCAGCAGCTTCTTGTCCATCTGTTCTGTCTGTACTTTCTCAAAGTTCAGTGAGGTTTAGGCAGCAGCAGACACAGACCTCAGCTTTGATCCAAAATATCCAAATATCAAACTTTTCCACCGTGCGTCTGTGTAAACACGATAAATTTAACCTGCTCCGTCCTGTGCACCAGCGACACATCACTGCACACAACTGGCCTCTCTCTCTGGTCTCTCTCTGGTCTCTCTCTCTCTCCCTGGTCTCTCTCTGTTCTTTCCCTGGTTTCTCTCTCTCTCCCTGGTCTCTCTCTCTCTCCCTGGTCTCTCTCTGGTTTTTCCCCGGTCTCTCCCTGGTCTCTCCCTGGTCTCTCTTGGGTCTCTCTCTGGTCTCTCTCTGGTCTCTCTCTCTCCCTGGACTCTCTCTGGTTTCTCCCCGGTTTCTCTCTGGTCTCTCTCTCTCTCCCTGGTCTCTCTCTGGTCTCTCTCTCTCTCCCTGGTCTCTCTCTGGTCTTCTATATAATTATTTGCAAACTCTCCAGCTCTGTTCAGATGAATCAGTGTAAAAACTGCTGAACCGTCTGAATTGAAGTGTTTTGGAAGAAAATGAGAAGAGGGAGAGGTCTGTGAGTCTTGGACACTGCACCAGAGACACAGTCAGACACCAGAGAGAGGGGGAGAGAGAGAGAGAGAGACCAGAGAGAGAGAGAGAGAGATCAGAGAGAGAGAGAGGGGGAGAGACCAGAGAGAGAGAGACGGGGAGAGAGACCAGAGAGACCAGAGAGAGAGAGGGGGAGAGAGACCAGAGAGAGAGAGTGAGACTAGAGAGAGTGACAAGACACCAGAGAGAGGGAGAGGGAGAGAGAGAGACCAGCAACTAGAGACCAGAGAGAGACCAGGAAGAGAGACCAGAGAAAGAGAGGGAGGGGGAGAGACAGGGTGAGCGTGGAAGAGGGAATGAAAGGGTGAGGAGAGAGAGAGATCAGAGAGGATGAGCGAGAGAGAAAATAGTCCAGAGACACAGAGACAGAGACACAGAGAGAGAGAGAGACAGAGAGAGAGACAGATAGAGACAGACAAAGAGAGAGAGAGAGAGAGAGAGAGAGGGACACAGAGAGAGAGAAAGAGAGAGAGAGAGGGACAGAGAGACAGAGCTTGTTTCAGAGTTTAATAAAATAGAGAATTGTGACTTCAGTGTTTCTATTGTTTTTTACTTTCAGTTTCAGACGGGACAAAATAAGACTCGTCTTTTAACACAGAGAAAGTAAAGTTTGAAGAAGCCAAAGTCTTTATTCAGATGTGAGAAGACCAGGTGGAGACGTAAAACCATGAAACTCAAGCTGAGAACAAGAAGTGATTTAGACTCTTTGGATTCTGCTCCTCATATTTTAAATACTTTTATGGTCCTGGCTCCACCTGCGGCCGACCATGTGGTGAGGACACAAGCGGACACAAAAGGTCTCTGGTCTCTCTCTGGTCTCTCTCTCTGGTCTTTCTCTCTGGTCTCTCTCTGGTCTCTCTCTCTGGTCTCTCTCTCTGGTCTCTCTCTCTGGTCTCTCTCTTCTGTGACTCTCTCTGGTCTCTCTCTGGTCTCTCTCTCTGGTCTCTCTCTCTGGTCTCTCTCTGGTCTCTCTCTCTGGTCTCTCTCTCTGGTCTCTCTCTCTGGTCTTTCTCTTCTGTGACTCTCTCTGGTCTCTCTCTGGTCTCTCTCTCTGGTCTTTCTCTCTGGTCTCTCTCTGGTCTCTCTTTCTGGTCTCTCTCTCTGGTCTCTCTCTAGTCTCTCTCTCTGGTCTCTCTCTGGTCTCTCTCTTTGGTCTCTCTCTCTGGTCCCTCTCTCTGGTCCCTCTCTAGTCTCTCTCTCTGGTCTCTCTCTCTGGTCTCTCTCTTTGGTCTCTCTCTGGTCTCTCTCTCTGGTCTCTCTCTAGTCTCTCACTCTGGTCTCTCTCTGGTCTTTCTCTCTGGTCTCTCTCTCTGGTCTTTCTCTCTGGTCTCTCTCTGGTCTCTCTCTCTGGTCTCTCTCTGGTCTCTCTCTCTGGTCTTTCTCTAGTCTCTCTCTCTGGTCTCTCTCTGGTCTCTCTCTTCTCTCTCTGGTCTCTCTCTAGTCTCTCTCTCTCTCTGGTCTCTCTCTGGTCTCTCTCTAGTCTTTCTCTCTGGTCTCTCTCTAGTCTCTCTCTGGTCTCTCTCTGGTCTCTCTCTAGTCTCTCTCTAGTCTCTCTCTAGTCTCTCTCTGGTCTCTCTCTGGTCTCTCTCTGGTCTCTCTCTGGTCTCTCTCTGGTCTCTCTCTGGTCTCTCTGGTCTCTCTGGTCTCTCTCTGGTCTCTCTCTGGTCTCTCTCTGGTCTCTCTCTGGTCTCTCTCTGGTCTCTCTTTGGTCTCTCTCTGGTCTCTCTCTGGTCTCTCTCTGGTCTCTCTCTGGTCTCTCTCTGGTCTCTCTCTGGTCTCTCTCTGGTCTCTCTCTGGTCTCTCTCTGGTCTCTCTTCTGGTCTCTCTCTGGTCTCTCTCTGGTCTCTCTCTGGTCTCTCTCTGGTCTCTCTCTGGTCTCTCTCTGGTCTCTCTCTGGTCTCTCTCTGGTCTCTCTCTTTCTCTCTCTGGTCTCTCTCTGGTCTCTCTTTAGTCTCTCTCTGGTCTCTCTCTCTGGTCTCTCTCTGGTCTCTCTTTAGTCTTTCTCTGGTCTCTCTCTGGTCTCTCTGGTCTCTCTTTAGTCTCTCTCTGGTCTCTCTCTGGTCTCTCTCTGGTCTCTCTCTGGTCTCTCTCTAGTCTCTCTCTGGTCTCTCTTTAGTCTCTCTCTGGTCTCTCTCTGGTCTCTCTCTGGTCTCTCTCTGGTCTCTCTCTAGTCTCTCTCTGGTCTCTCTCTGGTCTCTCTCTGGTCTCTCTCTGGTCTCTGGTCTCTCTCTCTGGTCTCTCACTGGTCTCTCACTGGTCTTTCTTTAGTCTCTCTCTTTAGTCTCTCTTTAGTCTCTCTCTGGTCTCTCTCTGGTCTCTCTCTGGTCTCTCTCTGGTCTCTCTCTGGTCTCTCTTTAGTCTCTCTCTGGTCTCTCTCTGGTCTCTCTCTGGTCTCTCTTTAGTCTCTCTTTAGTCTCTCTCTGGTCTCTCTCTGGTCTCTCTATGTGGATGGGAGGTAGAGGCTCAGGTGTCCCAGGCTCTCAGCTCCTGCCGGTCCTCCCTGTAGGGTTGTGTTGATCTGAGTGGACCCCTGTGAGTCCAGTCTTTAGGTCAAATCCGCTTCCAGTTCCAGATGACGTCACATTATTGTATAGAGCCGGCTCGGGTTCTGTGTTTTGCCAACTGCAGAAATGTGCGTTTTAGCGTGGAAGGATCTAAAAACAACCCCGGGTGTTTTTGACAAGGAAAAGTATTGAATCATACTTAAAATCTAGTTTTTCTTCATCCGACTCTTTCAAAATACATGGCACTGACTCCGGGAGTCTGAGGACGACAAACAGAAGGAACATTTTACTCAAGAGGTCCGCCCCTGGTCTCTCCCACAAGAATTAAAGCTGGGGTGCCTAACTTTCTTAAATAATACATGTTTGTACATCTAAACTGACACTAACCAGGACTACTGCTGCTGCTGCTGGACCTGCTGCGTCTGCTGCTGCTGGAGCGCTGAGCAGAGGAGGAAGACGAGGAAGAGGAAGAAGACGAGGAGGAGGAAGAAGACGAGGAAGAGGAGCACGATGAAGAGGACGAACGGCTTCTACTGCGTCTGCGCTTCCTCCTCTGGCTGCCTGAAACACAGAGACATACAGAGAGAGACACTGGTTTATATGTGCACATACAATGTTATGATGATAAATGCCTGAAGAGAAGTGTGTGTCTGTATCTGTGTGTGTGTGTGTGTGTATCTGTGTGTATCTGTCTGTGTGTACTTACTGCTGTTGGTCCTACTGCCCTCTGTCCGGGAGTTACTGGACTCTTTCTTCTCAGTGGATGACTGCAAAACACACACCTCTTTACGTCACTGCTCTTTTTAGCTTCAACTAAACTCACTTTTAAAATACAAATATTATAAACAAGTCCTGTTCCCTGGACACAGTGCAGCAGGTCGGGACAGCACGGTCCTGGACAAACTAACATCTATGTGGACCACTACTGTCAGACTGTACAACGAACGATGAGGTCAATTGAACACTGCCGATCTGACCTAAAAATGTCGTGCGTCTGTGCAAGAACCACATGTGTCACTTCAGCCCAAAGCCTCATGACTCACATTTATCCACAGATAAATACACATTTCCAGCACTAGAGCAAGCTGGTTTATACCTTAGGTCAGTGTCTCCCAAAGTGGGGTCCGCGGCCCCCTGGTGGGCCGCGAGGGTACTGCAGGGGGGCCGCGGGAGGTCATAAAAAAAAAAAAATATATATATTATTATTTAATGTTAAATTTATAATGTTTTGTTTGTAATATTAAAATATTTGTGTTAATTATTTTACTTGAATAATCCACTGTAATCATTTTTGTATTACAATGTTTGTAGCAGAGGCTATTTCCCCAAAATAAAATAACCAGAAGAGCCTATTCTTAATGTTGTCTTCTTGGTTATTATTTTGGGGGGCCACGCAGACCCGACAGATTTTTAAGGGGGCCTCGGTGTTACTGAGTTTGGGAATGGCTGCCTTAGGTCTATATTCTTTGTTTCTTCATTAAGTTAAAGAGAGATATTTTTATTCTAAAAGTATAGAGCCATGATACTTATTATTTCCTTATCTTGTGCTTCTCATTCCCACTCCATAACTTATGATACAACACTGACATTTCCCACTGTGGGAAGGACACAGAGGATCTTCATCTTTCTGCAGATTTTTATAATCAAAGAAATGTCACTAGTTCAAAGTTGATATTAAAATTCTTCATTTGTAAATATTCTATATTTACAAATGACAGTGTGTTTGGCTAACGCTACGAGCTAACCTAAAGCTAACAGGGAGCTAACCCGAAGCTAACCGGGAGCTACCCCCAGTCCCCGAGCCCTGCCCACAGCTGCAGCCGGCCTCTCACCATCTCCACACGGGCTCCACAGGCCGCTGGACACACACACAGCCGGACCGAGACCGCGGACCGGAACCACAGACCGGGCAGAGCAGCTCACGCAGCGGCGGAGACTCGGTTCTCCGCGGCGGTAGCAGTATCGGTAGACATGTGTAGACGGAGCGGGGAGTGGCGCCCTCTGCTGGTGACACCCGGGAACTGCAGCAGGTGGCTTCCCAATCAGAAAAATACATTCTTCCTATATTTTCCTTCCTTCTAATTTGTATCGTCCTCATGGCTTCCGGTTCAACCAAAATATCATAGAAAACATTTTAACTATGTTAAATATCGCTTGACCTGGATTTAAACATTAAGAAAGAGATTTAAGGATAACAAGGGTAACAAGGGCGATTTGTTGTTGAATTTAGATGCAACCATACATTCTACACCATGAAAATAATGAATGATAATATTTTTTTTACATTTATTTAGAAAATTAGGGCTCTAGACACATACACGCGCGCACACACACACACACGCACGCACACACACACATACACGCACGCACGCACGCACACACACATTCACTTATAGTACTGTACAATGAAGTCAAGGGAGACTCTGTGTTGTACAAAAACATTTATTGACAGTAATAGTCACAGGCCACTGTAAAAAGTGGTTTCAGTGTAGCTTAGAAGTGTATTGACAAAAAATTAAAAAAGTGTTTTTCAGTGGTCAGTGGAGCTGCCCGTGCACCTTCAGGAACTCCAGTTTGTTTTAGACAGAAATCTGTAACATGAGGTCATTTGCTGTAGATGTGTAAGTCTCTCTCTGGTCTCTCTCTGGTCTCTCTCTGGTCTCTCTCTGGTCTCTCTCAAACCCAAGTCCTCCAATACTGCTGTTGTGATTTAGGACTTACTTGAATATACATGTATTGCATGAATTACAACGTCAGAAACCAAAAGAGCATTGGACAAGATTGGAATCCATAAAAATCTTTTTAAAAGATCTTTTTGCAGAATTTGAAAGTAAGTAAGTTATCTTTATTTATATAGCACCTTTCACAGACCAGAGTCACAAAGCTCTTTATAATTGAGGACATTTGTCTCTCACTCCATACAGAGAGCGGTGTGTTTCGCGTGTTTAGACCTTTGTCGTCGTTTCACCAACATGAAATGCAAAAATAAAAATAAAAATTTCTTCAAAAGTCACTGCGAGAGTACCCTTGACCCGAGAGAGACACAGAGAGACACCAAAGAGAGACCAGAGAGAGACCAGAGAGAGAGACCAGAGAGAGACCAGAGAGACCAGAGAGAGAGACCAGAGAGAGACCAGAGAGAGACCAGAGAGAGACCAGAGAGAGACCAGAGAGAGAGACCAGAGAGAGATCAGAGAGAGAGATCAGAGAGAGAGACCAGAGAGAGAGACCAGAGTGTGTCTCTTCTTGAAAAGTTATAGTTATTTTTGTTTCCTTCAATGGTGCTGCTCAAACTGACCACTACACAGAGAGTAAACACAGCGTCTTCAACACAAGGGCATTTTGTCACAATTGTAAGGTCAGATAACATGAAGTCTGCAGCCGTCCTGTCCTCCGCGTCACTAGTGAGGTAAGATACACAAACAAACACCAACACTACATGCTAAATGCTAACGATAGAGCTAAAGCCGTGTGTAACAATATTAGAAAAGTGTACAAAAAATATGTTTGCTCTCTTTGGGAATTGTCTGTTTTTTAGCTTCTCAGTCCTTGAATATAAAACCTAAATATTGAGGATTTAAAAAAGGTATAAAAGTGTCAGGTCCAGTCTGGGTTTAGGCCTCGGTTTTGTTCTTGGAGTGGTCTGCGTGGGCCAGACTCTCCTCGTGCTCCTCCTCGTCGGCGGGAACCTGCAAGAAGGAAACGGGACTAGATTTAGGTCGGAAGTACCAGATTAGGTACTTAAAGAAGAAGTATCACATGTTACGTTTGACCCTTAGAATGTGGGAATCTTTTCTAAAGGGGAAAACATGCTTTTCACCTGCAACTCCCTCTGGTCTCCCTCTGGTCTCTCTGGTCTCTCTTTGGTCTCTCTAGTCTCTCTCTGTTCTCTCTCTAGTCTCTCTCTAGTCTCTCTCTGGTCTCTCTCTAGTCTCTCTCTAGTCTCTCTCTGGTCTCTCTCTGGTCTCTCTCTGGTCCCTCTGGTCTCTCTGGTCTCTCTCTGGTCTCTCTCTGGTCCCTCTGGTCTCCCTCTGGTCTCTCTCTGGTCTCTCTCTGGTCTCTCTCTAGTCTCTCTCTAGTCTCTCTCTAGTCTCTCTCTGGTACCTCTGGTCTCTCTGGTCCCTCTGGTCTCTCTCTGGTCTCTCTGGTCTCTCTCTGGTCTCTCTCTTATTACTGGAGCCACAGCTGCCCTGGGACACACTGACAAAAGTGAGGCAACCAGTCTGTGCCATCAGCCCCTCCGACCACCAACCCTTCACACACACACCCGACTCAATCTTATGTGGGTGCAATGTCTTGCCTCAGGACACAACCACAGGTTTACAGCCGCAGGCCTCCCTGTGGCACCTGGGATTCACAGAGGTCTCCCATCACGGTACTAACCAGCCCCTGTTCTGCTTAGCTTCAAAGTCTGACAGGATCTGGCTTTCGCATGCAAGTTTAGTCTCTCTCTCTCTGGTCTCTCTCTCTCTGGTCTCTCTCTCTCTAGTCTCTCTCTCTCTCTCTCTCTCTCTAGTCTCTCTCTCTCTCTCTCTCTCTAGTCTCGCTCTCTCTCTCTCTCTCTAGTCTCTCTCTAGTCTCTCTCAGGTCTCTCTCAGGTCTCTCTCTCTGGTCTCTCTCTGGTCTCTCTCTCTGGTCTCTCTCTCTGGTCTCTCTCTCTGGTCTCTCTCTGGTCTCTCTCTGGTCTCTCTCTGGTCTCTCTCTGGTCTCCCCCTCTGGTCTCCCTCTGGTCTCCCTCTGGTCTCCCTCTGGTCTCCCTCTGGTCTCTCTCTCTGGTCTCTCTCTGGTCTCTCTCTCTGGTCTCTCTCTCTGGTCTCTCTCTGGTCTCTCTCTCTGGTCTCTCTCTCTGGTCTCCCTCTGGTCTCTCTGGTCTCCCTCTGGTCTCTCTCTGGTCTCTCTCTGGTCTCTCTCTCTGGTCCCTCTCTGGTCTCTCTCTCTAGTCTCTCTCTGGTCTCTCTCTCTAGTCTCTCTCTGGTCTCTCTCTCTGGTCTCTCTCTGGTCTCTCTCTCTGGTCAGTAGTTTTCTTACCTCCCAGTAAATAGAGTCGTCGTAGCAGTTCTGGTCTGGTGGCTGTCCCCAGATGGGCAGCCTCATGATGAGACCTGCAACACGTCAGAACTTTAGCTCTACATCTTCCGTCTAATTTAATGATATAGAACAATATTCATATAAACCTGTGGGCTGTGAATGTGGTGTGAGATCTCTTTCTTTCTTTCGCATTTCTACTGCGTTCACACATGACACAGATACTGGAGATAAGCAGCAGGTTCCAGAAAATCTAGATCTTTTTCAATGTTTTTTGTGGAGCGACAGAGAACTCTAAGTTAAAGCTATGGACACAATACCTTTAATGAATGAGACTTTAAGGTCTCAATAGGTACCAACGGTTTGTTTCTATCTGCTTCTGTTCTGTGCTAAATCTCTGTTGGACTTGTTGAACTCTGATGGATCTCTGTTGGCCCCCTGGTGTTAAGGAGTCTCAAAGCGGTTTACAATTGTTAATTTTGGGCATTTGTCTCTCACTCCGTACAGAGATGGGAGCGGGGTCGACCCATGGAAATACATACAAACATAAAATGTTTTCCTGATGCGTGTGTTAACCATAAGAAATGTCCAGATGCTGTCTTTGTATTTGTATAGACCAAATATTAGGAGTGACCCGACCGAATGTGACATCACCACAGTGTGACATCACCAGAGTGTGACATCACCACAGTATTAGTCTTTATGCGGAATACGGTGATATGAACATAAGCTGGAGCCGGTCTCCTTATATGGGCATTTGTTATGACGTTAGCTTCACGCCATAACAGGGGCAGACTTGTTGCTAAGACGGTTGCTAAGGTAAGATGGAGTGTCTCCCATGATTGAAGGCATCTGATTGGTCAATCCTTATGTGGCTCATATCTAACTGTAAGTGATGATGCAGAACTCACCGGTGACGGCTCCTCCCACCAGAGCGAAGCCCAGAGACGAGGCCAGAGCGGCGGCCTGCATCGCCGCACTGCCCCTGGGGAGAGGAAGGGGGAGAGGGGGAGAGAGGGTCAGTCGAGCTGTGTGTGGAGCTACTTTCAAGAGCTAATACTGACAATGGACACAAGCACCGCTATGTTGGAGAAACTCAAAAATTCAATATGGCCGCCGTATTGATCACAGTTGACCCATCTGCTCCAAAAATGCTGTAAACAATATTTTGTTGTAAGTTTCCCATTACGCAGAGGAAGTGTGTTCCACAGTTGACCACTAGGGGCGCACTTTGGTGCACTTGGTCTGATCATGTGACCAGTTCATTCACAAATACAAGGGATAACTATATGGTATCTTTGCTCACCCTTCCTTCTTGCCCAGAGACACAGCCACGATGCCGGCCAGTCCCCCCAGGACCCCCGGGAGACCATGGAGGTTGTGGACACCACAGGTGTCCTGGATCCCCAGCTTAGAGGCCAGGACGGGCTGAGGGCAGAGACACAGAGACACAGAGACACAGAGACACAGAGACACAGAGACATACATTAAAATACAAGAGTAAAAAAAAAACAGAGGTAAGATGTGGAAAATATTAATAATAACTCTGAATAATAGTGTGTGTGTGTGTGTGTCTGTGTGTGTATCTGTGTGTGTGTGTGTATCTGTGTGTGTGTCTCTCACGGTGAGGAACTTGAATCCCAGAGTGGAGATGATTCCTGCGGTGAAGCCGATGATCATGGCTCCAAAAGGACCAATGTTCATGTCTGCACAGGTTCCCACGGCAACACCCCCCGCCAGGGTGGCATTCTGGATGTGGACCTGGGAGACAGAGGACCAGGTGAGGGACCAGTGAGACACCAGAGAGGGACAGAGGACCAGGTGAGGGACCAGTGAGACACCAGAGAGGGACAAAGGACCAGGTGAGGAACCAGTTAGACACCAGAGAGGGACAGAGGACCAGGTGAGGGACCAGTGAGACACCAGAGAGGGACAAAGGACCAGGTGAGGAACCAGTTAGACACCAGAGAGGGACAGAGGACCAGGTGAGGGACCAGTGAGACACCAGGTTAGAAATAGAGGACCAGGTGAGGGACCAGTGAGACACCAGAGAGGAATCAGAGAGGACCCCGAGATGGAACAGTGAGGGACCAGACTCTGGTGCTAGCGGGTTAGCATTGTGCCTCTGTATACAGACATACACACTTAGAAGTGTGCACCTGTTTAAATCGCTCCAACACTAAAGAGAAACAGCTCGGCCCATCATCGCTCACAGAGGCCTCGACCCCACGGCCCTGAATTTCTATGAGCGGCTTCTCATTCGTCACATTCAAAATTTGACCTCCTTCTCTTTGCGTCTACAGAAAAGTTCTCTGTGAGAATCTCCACCGACGACCACTAAGAGACTAAAGATGGGGCTCCAAACGTCTGCCCACGGAGTCAAATAGACAAACAAGGAGTCTGTCTCAGTCGTGGGTCTACAGCCTCAGTCCTGGGTCTACAGCCTCAGTCCTGGGTCTACAGCCTCAGTCCTGGATCTACAGCCTCAGTCCTGGGTCTACAGCCTCAGTCCTGGATCTACAGCCTCAGTCCTGGATCTACAGCCACAGTCCTGGATCTACAGCCTCAGTCCTGGGTCTACAGCCTCAGTCCTGGATCTACAGCCTCAGTCCTGGGTCTACAGCCTCAGTCCTGGGTCTACAGCCTCAGTCCTGGATCTACAGCCTCAGTCCTGGATCCACAGCCTCAGTCCTGGATGGCAAGGCAAGTTTATTTATATAGCACAATTCATACACAAGGCAACTCAAAGTGCTGAACAAAACAAGAAAGCATTAAAATCATAAATTATCACAGAACATTAAAAAGAAAGATAAAAATATAAAATCCCTCAGTTGTATGCACAGCTAAACAGAACTGTCTTTAACCTGGTTTTAAACATTGTCAGAGAGGAGGCCTGTCTCACATCTTCAGGAAGACTGTTCCAGATTTTAGCAGCATGAATCTGAAAAGCAGCCTCCCCATGTTTAGTTCTGACTCTGGGCACTAACAGGAGTCCAGTCCCTGTGCTCCTCAGAGTCCCAGCAGGAGTCCAGTCCCTGTGCTCCTCAGAGTCCGGGCTGGTTCATATGGGACTAACATGTCACTAATATATTTTGGTGCGAGGCCATGGAGAGACTTGTAACAAGCAGAGCTGTTTTAAAGTCTATTCTCTGAGCCACAGGAAGCCAGTGCAGAGACCTGAGGACTGGACTAATGTGGTCGTACTTCCTGGTTCTTGTCAGGACTCGAGCTGCTGCATTTTGAATGTACTGCAGCTGTTTTACAGCCTGTTTGGAGAGACCTGTGAGCAGGCCATTGCAGTAGTCTAACCTACTGGAGACAAATGCATGGATAAGAATCTCCAGGTCTGCTTTAGACACTATGTTTTTGATCCTGGCAATGTTTTTTAGATGGTAAAAAGCTGCTGATGTTACTGATTTGATGTGGCTATTAAAATGTAAGTCTGAGTCCAGTATTACCCCTAGATTTCTGACCTTGTTTGAAGACCTTGTCTCCACAGGCCTCTCTCAGGGCTCTATACAGGGATGGTCTCTGGTCCCTGGTCTCTTCACTCACCATGTCCAGCTTGCCCTTGTGCTCCACCAGGCTGGACACGGCGTAGGCCGACAGCACACACGCAGCCAGGGAGAGGTAGGTGTTGATGACGGCGGTGAGCTGTACGAAGCCGGGCTCCGCGATAGCAGAGTTAAAACTGGGCCAGAACATCCACAGGAACACGGTCCCTGAGGAGAGAAGACCAAAAGGTGAGGACCATGTGTGTAGGTCCAATAGAAGACAAACATGGACAAAATGACCATGAATCAGTGGAAAATATATGGTGAAACAAGAACAAAAAATGTGCTTTCTGTCGGTAACTCCCTCTGCTACCACCACAGGGAGACCAGAGAAAGACCAGAGAGGGAGAGACCAGAGAGAGAGAGACCAGGGAGAGACCAGAGAGAGACCAGAGAGAGACCAGAGAGAGAGAGACCAGGGAGAGACCAGAGAGAGACCAGAGAGAGACCAGAGAGAGAGAGACCAGAGAGAGAGAGACCAGGGAGAGACCAGAGAGAGACCAGAGAGAGACCAGAGAGAGAGAGACCAGGGAGAGACCAGAGAGAGACCAGAGAGAGAGAGACCAGGGAGAGACCAGAGAGAGAGAGAACAGGGAGAGACCAGAGAGAGACCAGAGAGAGACCAGAGAGAGAGAGACCAGACAGAGAGAGACCAGACAGAGAGAGACCAGGGAGAGACCAGAGAGAGACCAGAGAGAGAGAGACCAGACAGAGAGAGACCAGGGAGAGACCAGAGAGAGAGAGAACAGGGAGAGACCAGAGAGAGACCAGAGAGAGACCAGAGAGAGAGAGACCAGACAGAGAGAGACCAGGGAGAGACCAGAGAGAGAGAGACCAGACAGAGAGAGAACAGGGAGAGACCAGAGAGAGACCAGACAGACATGGCTCTCACCGATCATAGCGAACAGGTCTGAGTGGTAGACGGAGCCATCGTTGTCGTGTCCGTTCCTGAGCCCTGGTCGGTACAAGACCCGGGCCACGGCCAGCCCAAAGTACGCCCCGAAGGCATGGATGATCATGGAGGCTCCCACATCGTTGGCCTGTGGGGCAGAGAGAAAACAGCCTCAGTCCTGGATCTACAGCCTCAGTCCTGGGTCTACAGCCTCAGTCCTGGGTCTACAGCCTCAGTCCTGGGTCTACAGCCTCAGTCCTGGATCTACAGCCTCAGTCCTGAGTCTACAGCCTCAGTCCTGAGTCTACAGCCTCAGTCCTGGGTCTACAGTCTCAGTCCTGGATCTACAGTCTCAGTCCTGGGTCTACAGCCTCAGTCCTGGATCTACAGTCTCAGTCCTGGGTCTACAGCCTCAGTCCTGGATCTACAGTCTCAGTCCTGGGTCTACAGCCTCAGTCCTGGATCTACAGTCTCAGTCCTGGATCCACAGTCTCAGTCCTGGATCTACAGCCTCAGTCCTGGATCTACAGACCTCCAGGACGTTGGCCACCAGGTGTTCGTTGAGTCCAAAGATGGTGATCTCCAGGAGGGTCATGATGAGAAGCTGAACCGGGCTGGTCTTCCCCAGAACTGCTCCGAACGAGATCAGGACTGTGGCCGTACTGAAGTCTGCGTTTATGATCCTGCAACACACACATAACACACACCGGAGTTCTCATCAAGTATCATGAGCACAGGTCAATGAGATGTTAAGTCCCTTGAAAATGATGATGATGTGGTTATGTCTGAAAGCTCCTGTCGCAGTTCTGTAACACTATGACATCACACTAATTCAATTTCACCAGAGAGAGAGACCAGAGAGAGAGACCAGAGAGAGACCAGAGAGAGACCAGAAAGAGACCAGAGAGAGACCCAGAGAGAGGCCAGAGAGAGAGACCAGAGAGAGACCAGAAAGAGACCAGAGAGAGACCAGAGAGACCAGAGAGAGAGACCAGAGAGAGAGCAGAGAGACCAGAGAGAGAGACCAGAGGGAGACCAGAGAGAGAGCAGAGAGACCAGAGAGAGAGACCAGAGAGAGAGACCAGAGAGAGAGCAGAGAGACCAGAGAGAGAGACCAGAGAGAGAGACCAGAGAGAGAGCAGAGAGACCAGAGAGAGAGACCAGAGAGAGAGCAGAGAGACCAGAGAGAGAGACCAGAGGGAGACCAGAGAGAGAGACCAGAGAGAGAGACCAGAGAGAGACCAGAGAGAGACCAGAGAGAGAGACCAGAGAGAGAGACCAGAGAGAGACCAGAGAGAAGACAAAGAAAGACCACAGAGAAAGTGCTCATGAACAAAGTTTTGCTCCAACTCACTCTGGCTCCTATTGACTTCCATGCAACAGTAAACTCTTCCAGCTCAGTAACGTTTGTGTGACATCAACATTTTTAGTTTACATATGTGGTTTATCGCTCTCTGTGATCCTACGTTTTGTATGTGATAATGTCTTTATAGATCCAGATATGAGCCATTAAAGGATCAACCAATCAGAGGCCTCCATTCACAGGGGAAAAACTCTCTCTTTCCGTGGAATCTAATCATTGAACAATAATGATCCGGGAAAACAGCAGGACATTTTCTAATCCATAAATCACTTCTTAGCGTCTTGTTGCGACTCAACTGAAATCCTACGATGTGAACGCAGCCGAGTAGACGCAGATCGAAATCTCGCAGACTGCAGTTCCCATGGTCTACCTCTAGGTGGGAGTGCCGCTGCATATGTGTCATTTCTTACCACACTGGTCATGTCCCTCTCATGTCTCATAAATAACCGCACGCTCACACAAAAGCCCAAACAAACACATATTTTATAATCTTTCATACTTGGGTACAGCTCCATGGGGTTGGCCTCTTCTTCGGTGTGGTTGTCATGGTTTCCGTGATGCCCGTGAGACTTCCCGTCGTCGTAGACCACAAACACGGCGAAGAGGATGATGGTGATCAGCTCCAGGACCAGGGCCAGGACCGGGAACTTCAGCCTCATGTTGGTGGAGTAGGCAGGCATCCTCTTGGTCCTGCAGTAACCTCAATCAGCTCTGTCTGCTGCCCTCACACGCTGCTTTTAAACCCAGGGGGAGGGGCCTCGAGGGGGGCCGCTCTGGCTCCGCCCACACAGGGACTTGGACTTGGGACGGTTGGTTTGGGGATGGGTTTCCTCTGTGATAGTGCGGTCTAACGAGGGCGGCTTCCTGGCGTCTGTCACTGTCATGTGTTTCTACAGATTAAAGCTAGGGGACCTAATTTACAGACTACACAAGATGGAGCTTTGTTATGATATCCACCAGAGAGAGGGACCAGGAAGAGACTAAAGAGAGACCAGAGAGAGACCAGAGAGGGACCAGAGAGAGACTAAAGAGAGACCAGAGAGAGACCAGAGAGAGACCAGAGAGAGACCAGAGGGAGACGAAAGAGAGACCAGAGAGAGATCAGAGCAGACCAGCGAGAGACTAAAGAGAGACCAGAGAGAGACTAAAAAGAGATCAGAGAGAGACCAGAGAGAGACTAAAAAGAGACCAGAGAGAGACCAAATTGAGGCAGAGAAAGGGAGAGACACCGTAGACCAGACTGAGACCAGAGAGAGACCAGAGAGAGAGACCAGAGAGAGACCAAATTGAGGCAGAGAAAGGGAGAGACACCGTAGACCAGACTGAGACCATGCAGAGAGAGACCAGAGAGAGAGACCAGAGAGAGACCAGAGAGAGACCAGAGAAAGACCAGAGAGAGACCAGAGAGAGGACAACATGGTGCAACAGTGGTTAGTGTTTTACAGAAAGAAGGCCCTGGGTTTGATTTCTCGGTGATATGTATGTTGTTAATGCCTTGTGTTGTTGTTTCTGTCTGGTTCTGTTCAGCGCTTTGAGTTTGAACTGTGCTACACAAATAACTTACTCTGTCCTGTGTGATGCGTGTTCCTCACTCCATTCTACACATTGTTCTTCTAAGTTTAGCGTGACCCTGAGTTCCAGCTCTGCCCAGACCCTCGCGCCTCTGCTGCTGCTGCTGCTGCTGCTGCTGCTGCTGAGAGGGGCCCCGCTTCTGTCAGTGTGCCCCAGGGCAGCTGTGGCTACAGTGGTAGTTTATCACATGTGTGTTTGAAGTGAAACAACTATGACGCTGAAGAGTCTTTGAGGATCCAACGAGGTCCTATAAAACCCGTGCATTATTATTCATATTATATCATACTTTTACAGACTCGTTCTGTCAGGCCACCTTTCTGTGTTAATATCATGAGTGATTTTTGATTGAGTGTGTGTCTGTGTGTGTGGATGTGTGTAATGTGTGTGTATGTACGTGTTGGTTACTGCTCTGAGTTTTAACGTGAGCAAGCTGTGTATATGTGTGTGTATGTATGTGAGCCTGTGTGTGTGTGTGTGTGTGTGTGTGTGTATGTGAGTCTATATGTGTGCACTTGTTTTCAACTCCTGGTGGGTTCCATAACCTGAGATTTCACTCACGTCATGGGGACTGGTTTTACGTGGTGGGGCCCGAACACCGGACCCCACTGGTCCAAGCTTAATAATCAATGGGTAATGCTTTTCTAACGGTCCTTATGCAGTCTCTGTAAAAATATGGAAAGGACCCCTGGAGGTTTACTTTCCTGAAAAAAGTGTGTTATGTGTTGGAACCCTGGTGGTGGGTTGCGGGATATCAAGGAGGGGCACACTGGGGCAATTTCAGTCCAGCAGGCTGGAGCCAATCATGGAGCAGCACAACAGAGGCTGGAGCCAATCATGGAGCAGCACAACAGAGGAAATCAGGTGTCAGGCTAGAAAAGGTGCAAGTGTGTGGTTCATTAGGCTGCAGCCAATCACAGAGCAGCACACTGAAGCGCACGCTTACAACCCACTGGTAAGTGCTGACTACAAGTCATGACTTCAAATTGTTATATAGAATTATTACAAATTATTTGTTGTTTGTGCAGCTTAGTCAAGAGTCCCTAATTGATGAAGTCGACTCAGATTCGGAGGATTTAACTGTCAAGAAGAAACCTGTAAAAAAGTATGGAAAAAGAAAAATCAAAAACCCTTTTCTTCAAGACTCGGAAAGTGACGAACCAAAGGCAAATAAGATTGTTATCATGCAGCTGCAAAAGAAGAAAAATGGGGGGAGAGTTTACAGCAAGAGACACTTCTGCCTCTACTGTTCAATGTCCTGCCACAAAATGTCCTGTCATTTGACTAGAAAACATGGAAATGAAAGTGACGTAGCCAGAGCATTGGCTCTACCTGTGATATCTAAAGCACGTAAACTTCAGTTTGATTTGATCAGGAATAGTGGAAACCGTGAGCACAATTTTGAGGTTTTAAAGGCCGGCATTGGAACTTTAGTCCCAGCTAAACAGCCAAATTCCCCAGTTAAATCCAGTGAGTTTTTGCACTGTATAGACTGTGGGGCATTGCTTAAGCGAAAGTCGCTGTGGAGGCATGTGGCCAGGTGCCGGCTTTCACAGAAAGATGCCCAGGCTAAACCAGGCTAAACCAGGTAGAAGTAGGGTCCAGTCCCTCTGCTCCCTAGCCCAGCCTGTACCGGAGGGCATCAGCAAAAAGCTGTGGTCTTTAATTTCGGCAATGCATCAGGATGAGGTCACAGGTGTTTTCAAAGCAGAAAAGGGGATTCTGAGACTCGGAGAGCACCTGTACTTAAAACACGGGCATGATAAGACAAAGCATGATTACATTAGGCAGAAAATGAGAGAAGTCGGTAGGTTAATTCGGGCGTTCTGCTCTCCCAAAATTTCATCCACTGAGCGGCGCTGTGATCAAAAAATGACACCGTTTGTTGCCCAGTTCACTTCCGGTTGATTTCATACAATGGCGAATATGGCTCACGAAAACAACAAACGATTGACAGTGCCTGAATTGCGTGAAAGGTTGAAGCGAAAGGGTATTTGCAGTGTGGGAAAACGAAAGGAGGAATTGTTGTTGCTAGTTCAACGAGCGGATGGTGTTTATGAAGACTTAGAAGAAGATGACAGCGAGCAGAGTGAACGAAAACGGCTGTGTGTGCGAGTGACAGATGGTAACAATGAGAATGAAGTTCAGCTAAGAGGGAAGAATGTGAATTGGACGGATGATTTGCGCGATATGCCACTAGTTAGAGACGGGAATGTATTTGCATACAGAAAATGACGAAAACACTCAACCATTTAGAGAAAATGCGCCGGGCAGAGAGAACCGGAAGTTGCGAAGGCAAGTGTTACCCATAATGCAACGCAAAATTCAGTCGCTCCCCCGCCCATCGGATGGAATTTTGGGAGAGCAGAACGCCCGAATTAATGAAGCAAAAACCGCAGGGAAACTGAAAACAATGAAGGATTTCTTTATTCCTTCCAACTTTAACCATGTGATTGATGCAGTCAGGTCTGTGGCTGGATATGATGAGGAAACAAATCAATACAAGACTCCATCCTTGGCCCTCAAACTCGGCCATAGCCTCAGAAAGCAGATATTCTTGAATGTGACTCAAAAATGGAGCATTGTGTTGATGAACTATTTATTAAAAACCTCCAACGAAGCCGGCTGCTTTTTGAGAAGAGGTGGGACGTCTGTGTTTCTTCTGCTGCCCTACAGACCCTCCGGCAAGCCAAGTGGAACACTCCGGACCTGCTCCCTCTGACTGAGGACGTTAGAGCCATGCATGCACATATTGAGGTATGTCGACCTGAATATGTGCAAACCCTTATAAGTGAGCCAACGTCTAAGCATTGGTCTAAACTGGCAGTTTTGACTCTTTGTGAGGTCATTATTTTCAATCGAAGAAGGGAAGGTGAGGTTTCAAAGATGCCACTGACAGTGTTTACCTTAAGAAGTAAGACTGGGATCCATTCTGACATTGCTCTGGGACTGTCCGAACTTGAGAAAAAGCTGTGTCAGCATTTTCAACGCATTGAAATTAAAGGGAAAAGAAGTCGGAAAGTGCCGGTTCTTTTGACTCCTGAAATGATTGCTTGGATGGAGGTGCTGGTGGAGAACAGAAGGGCCTGTTCCATCTCTGACCATAACCCATACTTCTTTTCCCGCCCGGGCGCGGACACCCACATCAGGGGATCAGACTCCCTACGGCAGGTAGCCAAAGAATGTGGTGCGGTGCATCCAGAGATGCTATCCTCAACCAAACTTAGAAAGCACATAGCTACTATGTCTACAGTTCTCAATATGAAAGAGAATGAAATGGACATACTTGCCAACTTCCTCGGCCATGACATTCGCATCCACAGACAATATTACAGACTACCAGAGGGGACACTGGAGCTGGCCAAAATCAGCAAAGTGTTGATGGCCATGGAGCAGGGAAGAGTGACGGAATTCAAAGGAAAGAGCCTCGACCAGATACAAATTGAGCCTGAAGGTAATTCTTGATATTATTAAAATATGTATAATTTTTTTTCCCCTAAAGGCCACTTGTATTTTTATTTTCTGTGCGACAGGGAGAGCAGTAGAGATCCTCTCACAAACGGACGGGCTAAAAGAAACTTCAAGCGGAGAACCTTCAACCATTCATCCAGATGCACCCCATGGTAGTGGCAGTGCCCCTTCTGGTAAGTGTACCAGGTGGGGGATTACAGCCAGGCTGCTTGGTCCTAACCCTGGGAGTGTATATTGCTAATATATTTTTATTTCTCTCCCTAGAACGTTAGAGAAAGCCATGGTCTGCATCTGAGGTGAAGGCTGTGGAGAAGACCATGACGCCTTTCATACAGACTGGAAAAGTCCCTGGGAAGTCTCACTGCCTGGCCTGCATTAATGCCTCACCAGATGACCTTAGACATCGGACATGGAGTGGCATTAAATTCTATGTCAAAAATAAAATCACTGCAATTCGAAAAAAAAAAAGTCTATGGGTCCCATTCTGAACGGCCCTGTCAAAGGGACCCACCAGGTAACTAAAACGTGTATGTGTGTGTGTGTGTGTGTGTTTGTGTATGTCTGTGTATGTGTGTGTATGTGAGTCTGTATGTGTGTGTGTGTATGAGTCTGTGTGTGTACATGTGTGTGTGTTGTGTCCCCCCCCTCAGTCTTTGTGAATGGGAAAAGTGTTTGTGTTGGCCCTGAGGCTGAGGCTCGCTGCCAAACGCTGTCGTCGGTGTGAGATCGAAATGAGCAGAATCAGATTGTGTTTCATGTTTGAGGCTGGTTTTAATCAATCACCAAAGATCAGAGGGTCCTGGTTCTGTAGACCCAAGACTGAGGCTGTAGACCCAAGACTGAGGCTGTAGACCCAGGACTGAGGCTGTAAAACACTGCCCACCTGCCTGTTTCCTTCTATAATTAAATATCCATCCATCCATCCATTTTCTACCCTTTAATCCATTTCTGGGTCAGGGGGGCGGCAATCAGAGATGCCACCCAAGTCTCATAGCACCAGCCCCTCACTGACCCTCTGCAGGTGGTGAGTCCACAGGAGGACGGCTGCTCTCTGAGTGTGAGCATAGCCTTGATCTTTCAGTGGGGGCTTTTGGGCAAAGTGGGGTTAAGTGTCTTGCCCAAGGACACAACGACAGCAGTCATCAGTGGGAGTCGGTGGAGAAGGTGTATAATTAAATATTTGTTGTTAAATCCAACCTTGTAACATTACATATACTTGTATCTGTCGTCTGCATTTGACCCATCCCGGAGACCGAACACCTGGAGGAAACCGACCTTCTTTCCTTTCTCCTCTCCTCTTCTCTTCTCTTCTCCACTCTCTCTCCTCTCCTCTTTCCTCTCTTCACGCTCTCTCCTTTCCTCTTCTCCTCTCCACTCTCTCTCCTCTCCTCTCCTCTCCTGTCTCTCTCTTCTCTACTCTCTCTCTCTCCTCTCCTCTTTCCTCTCTCCACTCTCTCTCCTCTTCACTCTCTCTCCTTTTCTCTTCTCCTCTTTACTCCCTTTCCTTTCCTCTTCTCATCTCCACTCTCTCTCCTCTCCACTCTCTCTCGTCTCTCTCTCCTCTCCTCTCCTCTCCTCTCCACTCTCTCCTCTCTCTCTCCTCTCCTCTTCTCCTCTCCACTCTCTCTCCTCTCCGCTCTCTCTCTCCTCTCCTCTCCTCTCCAATCTCTCTCCTCTCCTCTTTCCTCCCCCTCCTCTCTCCCCCTCTCCTCTCCTGTGGTGAGAGTGTTCCCCAGAGCACACAGCTGGTGTGTGTTTTGTGTAACTGTCAGTGTTGCACCATGACCCAAACACACCTCAGAGATGTTCGGGCCTGACTGCAAAAATGACACATGAAGTTAATTTTTAGACACATTCCTGAAATAATACACAGCTTTTTGATCTTTCTTCATAGTCCTCTGTCTCTCGTCCATGGCCCCTCCCCTGCTTTCCCCTTCCCCTCGCACCTCTTGTCCATGGCCCCTCCCCTGCTTTCCCCTTCCCCTCGCACCTCTTGTCCATGGCCCCTCCCCTGCTTTCCCCTTCCCCTCGCACCTCTCGTCCATGACCCCTCCCCTGCTTTCCCCTTCCCCTCGCACCTCTCGTCCATGACCCCTCCCCTGCTTTCCCCTTCCCCTCGCACCTCTCGTCCATGGCCCCTCCCCTGCTTTCCCCTTCCCCTCGCACCTCTCGTCCATGACCCCTCCCCTGCTTTCCCCTTCCCCTCGCACCTCTTGTCCATGGCTCCTCCCCTGCTTTCCCCTTCCCCTCGCACCTCTTGTCCATGGCCCCTCCCCTGCTTTCCCCTTCCCCTCGCACCTCTTGTCCATGGCCCCTCCCCTGCTTTCCAATTCCCCTCGCACCATTTTAGGCGGTAATTGTTCCCATTGAAGACCTGGATCTGCTCCGTGTCTGGCTCCAACATACAGTCTGTATGTTTATGTGAGAGCCGTGTTATTGTAGCGTGTTCCTCGGAGCTGTTCCCAGGCCTGTCCCGTCACTCTCTGCTTTTACATGTGACAATATATAAAAATAATCCCGGCTGGATCAGACCTCTCTTGTCTCAGTTTACATGATTATGCTTTTATCTTTATTACTCTTTAGACTAAAGTTACAGATTTGAGTTTATTATACAGTAGAATAAAGGCATTTCTTTCCTCAGTCCTCCTGTTCTGTAACTGGGGATGCAACACTGACATTTCCCAACTGTCGGATGAATAATGGATCTTTTCATCTTCATGCAGACCTCTTGTAGATGATATGTGTAAGGGTGGCTCTGTGTGGGACTCTCTCTGTGTTTGTCCGTCTCTATGACAGAGTTTTATATTATTTTATTTTTGTTGATCTATGCAAAAGATCCTGTTTGAAGTGTGCATTATTTCCTCCTTATATTCTGCTGTAATGTGTATATTCTGTGTCTCTCTCTCTGTCTCTCTCTCAGTCTTTCTCCCTTTCTCCCCTGTGTTCTGGAATTGAGAGTATGTGTCATTTATGCAGAAAGTCTCATGATTCATGATCTGACAGATGTTTTAGTGACTGGAAAACAACATCAGGCTCTGTTGAGAAAAGTAGTAGCAGCAGCAGCAGTAGCAGCAGCAGCAGTAGTAGCAGCAGCAGTAGGAGCAGCAGCAGCAGTAGCAGCAGCAGGAGCAGCAGCAGCAGCAGCAGTAGCAGCAGCAGCAGTAGCAGCAGCAGCAGTAGTAGTAGCAGCAGGAGCAGCAGCAGCAGCAGCAGTAGTAGCAGCAGCAGTAGCAGGAGCAGGAGCAGGAGCAGGAGCAGCAGTAGCAGCAGTAGTAGCAGCAGCAGCAGCAGCAGCAGGAGCAGCAGTAGCAGCAGTAGCAGTAGTAGCAGCAGCAGCAGCAGTGGCAGCAGCAGCAGTAGCAGCAGTAGCATTAGTAGTAGTAGCAGCAGCAGCAGCAGCAGTAACAACAGCAGCAGCAGTAGCAGCAGTAGCAGCAGTAGCAGCAGCAGTAGCAGCAGTAGCAGTAGCAGTAGCAGCAGCAGCAGCAGCAGTAGCAGCAGCAGTAACAGCAGCAGTAGCAGCAGCAGCAGTAGCAGCAGCAGCAGTAGGCTCTGCTGAAATCATAAATGAGAAAACAGAATCTTGAATTCTTGGGACACTCACACAGTGGTTTGTGCTTCACAGTGAGAAGGTCCTGGGTTCGATTCCACCTCCAGGCCTATCTGTGTGGAGTTTGCCTGTTTACCCCTTGTCTGCCCCAGTTTCCTCCAGGTGCTACGGTTTCCCCTACCACTAAAACATGTACAATAGTTCTGACATGCACCTCTCTGAGTGGAGTGAGAGATGCCCACAACTCTTGTAAAGACCTTTGTGACTCTGGTCTGTGAACGGTGCCATACAAATAAATATGACCTACTCCTTACTAAAGCAGTGAAGTGTTGACAGCAGCAGGTCTCTTCGTTACATAATCAGCAGAGGATGGAGTCGCTGTGAGGACCACAGATAACCACTAATGCTTTTCCTGGAATGTGGTGCTGATTACACTGATGCAGCGATAAGACTTTTCTGGGTTTTTTGATTGCAGTAGCAGAAGCAGCAGCAGAAGCAGCAGCAGTAGTAGCAGCAGCAGAAGCAGCAGCAGCAGCAGTATAGCAGTAGCAGTAGCAGCAGCAGAAGCAGCAGCAGTAGTAGGAGCAGCAGCAGCAGCAGCAGTAGCAGCATCAGCAGAAGCAGCAGCAGTATAGCAGTAGTAGCAGCAGCAGTAGCAGCAGTAGTAGCAGGAGCAGCAGTAGCAGCAGCAGCAGCAGCAGCAGTAGCAGTATAGCAGTAGTAGCAGCAGCAGTAGCAGCAGCAGCAGTAGTAGCAGGAGCAGCAGCAGCAGCAGCAGTAGCAGCATCAGCAGCAGCTGCAGCAGCAGTAGTAGCAGTATAGTAGCAGCAGCAGCAGCAGCAGTAGTAGCAGCAGTAGTAGCAGCAGCAGCAGCAGTAGCAGTAGCAGCAGCAGTAGCAGCAGCAGCAGTAGCAGTAGCAGTAGTAGCAGCAGTAGCAGCAGCAGCAGTAGCAGTAGCAGTAGTAGTAGCAGCAGCAGCAGTAGCAGCAGTAGTGGCAGCAGTAGAAGCAGTAGTAGCAGCAGTAGCAGCAGCAGCAGTAGCAGTAGCAGTAGTAGCAGCAGTAGCAGCAGCAGCAGTAGCAGTAGCAGTAGTAGCAGCAGTAGCAGCAGCAGCAGTAGCAGTAGCAGTAGTAGTAGCAGCAGCAGCAGTAGCAGCAGCAGCAGTAGCAGTAGCAGTAGTAGTAGCAGTAGCAGCAGTAGTAGCAGCAGTAGCAGCAGAAGCCGTGGGAGTAGTACTATGTTTTTTCATATATTCAATTACAGCTGTTGAGACTGATGGTTTTTCCACTTCTTTCTCTTTTCACATTAGACATTTGACGGAATAGTGTTTTCAAATGGCAGTTTCAGGCCCTATCTCAGTCTCTGACTGACTGGGTCCGGACTCTGACTGGGTCCGGACTCTGTTCCGACTGGGTCCGGACTCTGTTCCGACTGGGTCCGGACTCCGACTGGGTCCGGACTCCGACTGGGTCCGGACTCCGACTGGGTCCGGACTCCGACTGGGTCCGGATTCCGACTGGATCCGGACTCCCACTGGGTCAGGACTCCGACTGGGTCAGGACTCCCACTGGGTCTGGATTCCGACTGGGTCAGGACTCGCACTGGGTCTGGATTCCGACTGGGTCAGGACTCTGACTGGGTCTGGATTCCGACTGGATCCGGACTCCCACTGGGACTGGGTCAGGACTCTGACTGGGTCTGGATTCCGACTGGGTCAGGACTCTGACTGGGTCTGGACTCTGACTGGGTCTGGACTCTGACTGGGTCTGGACTCTGACTGGGTCTGGACTCTGACTGGGTCAGTACTCTGACTGGGTCTGGACTCTGACTGGGTTGTTCTGATGCGTTTGTAGAGAATGGTCACTCACCTCTCTGCTGCTAAACTTTTGCCGACCATCTCCATAAACCACGTCTGACAATAATCCACATAAACATAATACATTCCACTGTCATTGAAACAGTAAGAAACATTTACCTCGCGACACCTGTTTCCTCTAATTCTGTCCTGAGCACAGGCCACATTAAGCCCACAGCGCCCCCTTGTGGCACAGAGCAACGGGAGGTATGTTTTTTTACACACGTGAAGCTGGCAGGCCGGTACTTTACACACGTCACTTTGATCTCAGCGCAGCACTTTTAAAACATGTTTTTATAAAATGTGCTATATAAATAAAGTGGACTGGGAGCTCCATAAATACAATACAATACAATTTATTCTTGTATAGCCCTAGGTCACAACAGAAGTCATCTCAGAGGACTTAACAAAACCAATGAAATCACCAACACAGGTCAGAGAATCAACAGTTAAAACACATGGAGAATATAAAGCACACACAGAAGAAAATGTCCATACATGTTGTAGAATGCTAAAGTGTCCTGATCATCACCAATCCTTTCTGTTGGACACTAACTGTCCAACAAGACCCTCCTGCATCGACAAGGAAAAATTCTTAAAAAACCCAGTGGGAAAAAGTGAAAAACCTTGGGGAGAACTAGGGAAACCCACAGGGAGGGAGACCCATATGAGAAAGGGATCCGCTCCTCCGGACGGACAGGCTAATGATCTAGGACCTAAGCTAGCTACAGGACGTGGACCAGTGGCCGCTGAACGTGGACAGGTCCGGTGCAGAACTGAAGCACTCCCAGGCGGGTCGGGCGGGGCAGTCCGCAGGTGCAGATGGAGGAGGCCAGGCTCAGAGATCCCGTCATCGTACCATGAAACAGACAATGGGACAACGGGTGAATAGCAATGAACAAACTACAGTCAGAATCCTAAAAGTGCTAAACAGATAAAGTAGATAAAGTAGGAAGGAGGAGAGGATAGTGCTCAAGTTACCATACTTCTCCCAGCAAACTGACTCCCTATGCAGCTTGACTAACACTCTGAGGAGTTTAGCCTTCCCCGAGTCTTACCTTCCTAACCATATGCTAAACTAAAGAGGACTGTTTTAAACCTAGCCTTGAATAAAGAGATTCATGGGTTGCACACCAGGTGTGCAAACCGATCTAAGCAAAACCAATTATATATTATATATCATATACATCACACATACCATACATACCATATATATCATATATAATACACAACATAACATACAGCATAATATACAACATAACACAATACATTATTGTATAATATATAACATAATACAGCATATATATATAATATATACACCATATATTATATATTACCTAATTATATGCTAAATTGAAGTAAAGTGCTTTAAGCCTGGCCTTGAATGTGGAGACCGTATCTGCTTCCTTAACATAAATGGGAAGCTGATTCCACAGTAAAGGAGCTTGGTAGCTAAATGCTCTGCCACCAACAGTGATTTTTGAGACCTTAGGGACCACCAGACGTCTGGCGTTTTGTGAGCGCAACGCTCGACTTGGTTGATACGACACTAACGTGTCTTGGAGATAAGAAGGAGCCAAGCCATTTATGGCTTTATATGTTAAGAGAAGGATTTTAAACTTTATTCTGTACTCCACAGGGAGCCAGTGGAGTGATTTTAACACCGGAGTTATGTGCTCCCTCCTTTTGGTACCTGTTAAGATCCTAGCTGCTGTATTCTGAACGAGCTGGAAGCTCTTCAAAGAGGCTTTAGGGCACGCTGCCAGTAAAGCGTTACAGTAGTTGAGCCTTGAGGCGACAAACGCGTGAATGAGTTTTTCCGCCACTTTTAGGAAGGAAATTCCTAATTTTAGCGATGTTCCGTAAGTGGAAGTACGCCGTTTTAGTTGCTTGGCTTATATAAGCCTTGAAGGAGAGTTCTTGGTCAAAAATGACTCCAAGATTCCTCACAGTGTTACTGGGTATTATACTGACATTATCGAGAGTAATTATCTGGTTAGTGAGGGTGTCACGCAGGCGCTTCGGACCGAGTAGGATCACTTCTGTCTTCTCCGGGTTGAGCAGTAGGAAGTTAAGAGTCATCCACATTTTAAGGTCCTTTATGCAGGCACTGAGCTTTTCTAGCTGATCTGTCTGATTTGGCTTCATCGACAGATAAAGCTGTGTGTCATCTGCATAGCAGTGGAAATGAATTCCATGCTTTTTAATAATGTTTCCTAACGGCAGCATGTAGAGAGTAAAAAGAATCGGTCCGAGTACCGAACCCTGCGGCACACCAAATTCTACTCCAGAATAAGGTGACGAGTTCTGATTTACGTTGATGAAGTGATACCGATCTAATAAATAGGATTTAAACCAGCCAAGGGCTGTTCCTCTAAGACCTATATCACATTCTAGCCTCTGCAGTAGAATGCTGTGGTCTATTGTGTCAAATGCAGCACTAAGGTCCAGTAGGACCAGCACTGACACTTGCCCATTATCAGCAGCTAGTAGTAAGTCATTTGTGACTTTGACTAGTGCCGTTTCAGTGCTATGATGAGCTCTGAATCCTGATTGAAAGACTTCAAACATATTATTTTCCTGCAGGTGGCAGCGAAGCTGCTCAGCTATAAGTTTTTCCAGGATTTTAGATATAAAAGTGAGGTTTGAGATCGGTCTGTAGTTTGTAAGTATTTCTGGGTCCAGGTTTGTTTTCTTCAGAAGGGGTTTGATAACCGCGGTTTTAAAAGCTTGTGGGACATAGCCACATTGTATGGATGCGTTTATTATATTTACGATAGGCTCAATTATCAAAGGAAGTATGTCTTTGAAGAGCCATGTCGGGACTGCGTCTAACATACAAGTTGAGGCTTTTGAGGATGTGACCACAGAGATCACCTCTGCTTGGCTCACAGCCATGAATTTATCGAGGCCCACTGAAGAGTCTCAGTGGGAAGTCACGTATGCGGCTTCAGCCTGTCCACTACCAACAGCAGGAGTAACCTCCTCCAGCTTGTCACGGATGGATGTAATTTTATTATTAAAGAAGTGGAGAAAGTCGACACTGCTCAGTGAGCTTGGAATTTTAGGCTCGATTGCGCTATGGCAGTTTGTGAGTTTAGCGACGGTGCTAAACAAAAATCTACTGTTGTTTTTATTCGCTTCTATTAAAGTTGAATAGTATTGAGTTCGAGCCCTGCGAAGGGCATTCTTATAGTTTCGGAGACCTGCTTTCCACTCCCTGTGGACAGGCTCCGAGTGGGAGTGGCAATATAGCCTCTCCAATTTTCTGACGTCCTGTTTTAAAGTGTGGAGTTGAACACTGTACCAGGGCGACGATGATCTAATCCTAATAGTTTTCTGTTTTAAAGGAGCTGCTGCATTTAATGCAGATTTTAAAGACTCCATAGTGTTGTCCACCGTTTGGTCAATGACTGAGGGACTGCAGCTGCTGTGAACAGGTTCACCTGCAGCAGTATTCAACATAGGCTGTATTAGTTCTTTGAACCTTGTGATAGATTTATCATTTAAGGTTCTTTTCATTATGGTTTTATCTTGCGGGACAGGAAAGTCCTCCAAAGCGAGATCAAACGTGATCAAGAAATGGTCAGACAGCAACGAGCTTTGACGCTGGATGTCAACATTGGAGACATCACAGCCGTAGGTCAGGACAAGGTCCAAGGTGTGGTTATGAATGTGAGTAGGTTCCTCAACATTCTGAGTAAAACCAACACCATCTAGTACGGCGCTAAAAGCTTTGTTTAAGCTGTCAGTGCTGTCGTCCACATGTATATCGAAGTCTCCAGTTATAACTATGTTTTCCCATTCCAAAACTAGGTTTGAAATGAAGTCAGAGAATTCTGTTAGGAACTCGCTGTAAGGACCAGGAGGTCGGTATAAAACTATAAATAGCACCGCTTTTTGTTTTCTCCACCCAGGACAGGTGATTGAAAGTGTTAAGTTTTCAAACAAGTGAAAAGCATTGTTGGTTTTGGGACTAAGAAGTAAGTTGGTGTGTGATATAATCGCAACACCACCGCCGCAACCTGTAGTTCTCGCTTTCTGGTAGTTAACATGCGTCGGAGGAGTGCACTCATTCAATCTAAAGCCTGGACACAGAAGCACAGGGACTTTTGTCTTCCCCGGGCCCATTACCCTGCATGAAAAATAACTTTAATAATTCATTAAATTGAGTATATTTATCTTAATCTGACAGTCGGACTGTTTAAAAAAAAATTAAACTCTTTTTTAAGGATAATTCTGCTTTGTCCCATTGGCAATTCTTGATTTAAGGCAGTCAGAATGTGCTCATATTAAGATACATTTTGTTAAATCACTTTTTGCAGTGTAAGAGAACACAAGCAGGTCTTTCAGAACATGGAAGTCTGATGACCTGGCACTTGGCCTCACACAGCCCCAGCTCGCAGCCAGGCCCCCCTCCCCTCCGGGAAAAGCCTCCTTCAGCCTCATGTAAACACCAGGTCTCCACTTGGACGACCTGGAAGCTGCCCCGCCCAAACACCGGAAGGTTCTGGAGTATCTGACCTCCTCCTGTTGTGCATTTTTTGGTAAAGAGCTGGTTTGACAAAGATGGAGGAGGAGGAAGCTGCTTTGACACAGGTGGTTTCCGTGGTTACCGTGGTTACCTGATCCATGTAGCTGTGAAAGCGGTTTCTGGGTGTGAGGACTTTTGTGGATGGGAAGAGTACAGCTGATGGTTGAGGAGGGAGAGAGGGGGGAGAGAGGAGGGAGAGAGGAGGGAGAGAGGGGGGAGAGAGGAGGGAGAGAGGGGGGAGAGAGGAGGGGGGGGGGCTACACGTTTCTCACTCATGACTTTAACCATTACCCTCACATTGTTACTGTACAACTTAACATGTGTGTAGACAGTGAACATGGATGTATCAGGTCTCTCTAGGTCCCTCCTTCTCTGGTCTCTCACTCTCTAGTCTCTCTCTCTCTGGTCTCTCTTTCTCTGTTCTCTCACCCTCTAGTCTCTCTCTCTCTCACACTCTGGTCTCCCTCTCGAGTCTCTCTCTGGTCTCTCTCTCTCTGGTCTCTCTTTC